CTCACTCTAGCCAGGGCGACAGAGTGAGACTCCGTTTCAAAAAAAAAAAAAAAAAAAACATAACTCTAATTACTAGAATGGTATGCTGTAATTAAAACAAAAACAGTTTGTATGATGTTACAGTTTAAACGTGAATGACTTCTGCAACAAGAAAATGGAACTTCCATCTACCTTTTTTGTTGTTGGTGGTAGCTTGAATCTATTTCTAGTATTAAACAATTGAGGTTGTTGAGCTGTACATAAATTTAACATAGAATTTTACAAATAGGATGAGGTTTATGAGTTAAAAGTTGGTCCCAATTAGAAGATCATGATCGATCAATATTTAAAACTTCTATATTCCCCAAATTATTCTCAATATTATATATTTGGCTTCACGATTTTTTTTTCATTTTTGAACTAGACATATCACTAGGCTGAAGCTAGTATGAGTATACATTACTAAAACAGGAAACAAATATTTCTTTATAAACACTAATTCTAGAAGACTTCACGCCCACATTCTAAAATCTAATTAAATTAATTTCCTAGGGCATTCATGTATTCTTGGTAGCTTGCAATTTTTAACTGTCAAAATAAAGCCTTATTTTTAAAGGTGGGTGGTGTTGATGAAACAAGTATGAGTAATACTTGCAGGAAACACAATATTAGCTTTAGCTGGGAAGTGGGTGATACTTGAACAGTCCTTCAAAGAAGCACTTTCCACGTCTCACCAATGTAAAACGTGAGTTGTAATGTCTTTACACAGTAAGCAAGGACACTTACAAAATTCCCTCATGGTGCTTAAAGTATGTTTATCTACCAAAAATGCAATTTACACAAATTTTCAGGATTATGTCTCATGTATAAAGTGAAGGCAACCAGTTAATATGTAAATATCAACCACCAGACCTTCCATGTTTCATTTTGTTTAATATCTACTAAGCAGAAACGGCTGTGTGCAAAGCTTGTTCTAATAGAGAAGTAAGAATGACAGAATTAAGTTGATTTCCTCTCTCTTCTGAGGTAGTTCTGCTCTAGTGACCATAGTTCTGGGAATATTTTCTCCCCTGTTGGTCTTGCTATGTTTATCCCAAACAGAATTCTCTAAAGGGTTAAGAAAAAAAGAACAGTAGAACAGCTATGGACTATTGTTAATACTGTACTCCAATTTAGTATTTAAGGGCCATAAGAGGTAATAATTCTCCAAAACCTGAAACTATTAATAGTTAATTATTTCAAGATTAAAAAAGAACCTAACTTAAAATTTTAACACACTATAAAGTGTTCTTATATATACACATATGTGTATATCAAAGATAGGTAGCATGAACAGAGAAGGAATAATGTTTTAAACCCTACTTTAAAGGTAAAAAAAAAAAAGTGCCTAGACTGTGTGTATTTAGGGGTAGAGGGTATATGAGAAATTTTTGTACCTTCTACTCAATTTTGCTATGGACTTAAAACTGCTCTAAGAAATAAACTCTACTTTTTTTAAGGTATCTATAATTATAAAAATTTTTTACAACTGATCTAGAACCTCTTATACTTTCCTGGATTAAACTTAAGCCCATTATCCAAAGTGAGGCACCACAGATTTAATCTTACATAAAAACATAAATTTCTCTTTTGAATCTGATGTTGCAGGCTGGAGGTAAAATCTACTTTAGATGCTTCCACCGAAATATGTAGATATCTTTCAATGTACATAATGTGACATAGACTCAGACCAGTGTCTTACACACAGTTGTTCAATAAAAAATTTAAGAACTGATTAAAAGGCAATGTTATGAAGAACCGCACAGAAACAATTGTATTATAAACCTAATCACTTTGTAGCAGCCATTCATACTTTGTTATGACCCTCTGATGAAAAAAATAGAAAGCCCCAATTCAGATAAAGACTAATCCAATAAAGTTATTACAAATTATGAATTTTGAGTTCATTTTCATAGCTGTATGATAACTTCCTCGCATGTTACAATTTCTCAACAGTTTCCTAGAATATGAAAGTTTAGACTAGGCACGGTGGCTCATGCCTGTAATTCCAGCATTTTGGGAGGCCAAGGCAGGAGGATTGCTTGAGGCCAGTTCAAGACCAGCCTGGTAAACAGCCAGACCCTGTCTCTACAAAAAATAAAATTAGCTGGGTTTGGTGGTGTATGCCTGTGGTCCCAGCTGCTCAGGAGGCTAAGGCAGGGCTGACTGAGGCCAGGAGTTCGAGGATGAAATGAGCTATGATCACACCACTACTCTCTAGCCTACGTGACAGAGTCAGACTCTGTTTCTCAAAAAAAGAATATGAAAGTTTATTCTTATAAAAAGGTTAAAAATAAAGAAGAAGAGGAAGAGAAAGGTTTTACTCCCTCCACAAAGCAGGATGTGGCTAAGAGGTCTTTAATGTAAAATGCATGTTAGAAACCTGTAGTTTTAGAAAACCTACATGGAGTTTAACTAAAGTCCTAAAATGTGTGTAAAATCTGATAGTATTTGTGAAGGTCCAAGAAAGCTGCAGCCACCTGTTAGAAATAACTCATGGGCACCCAAACCATAGCTCCATCTCTCTCCTTCTAGAAGAGTAATTCTGCCAAGTTAGGCTTTAGTGCCCCGTCATTATCTCATTACACATATGTACAATTCCAAAGCCACCATTCAAGGAAAACCCTGAATCACTGCCCCTTGCTGGGCTGCCTGACATGCCACACATCACCAAGTCTCTGACACCAGAGAAAGTGGGGTCTATTTTTTAGAATCCTTCATTACTCTAGCTTTTTTTAAATCTCAAAAACTACTAATAAAATAAGGCAACTGAAAATAGACATTTTGTATGCCCTATATGCCTTTGAATTTCACCTTAAAACTTTGATTTTGTACTTCTTAGTGCACTAATATGTTCATTTCATTCTTTTCCTTCTATTAAACTATAAGCTACTCAAAAGCAAAGGCCAATACTTGTAAGAATGTCTTTTTTGTAACTCTCCACCGCCATATACTTGCATATATAGAGCTGATTGATAACTGATCTATTCTTCCTCAGTAAGTTACCAAGTGAAAAAAACTCAAATAAGTCATGCCCTTCTCCCTTAAAATTATTTTCCAATTATTTTTATTGCAGAAAATTTCAAGCATATGCAATAGAAAGAACAGTATAATGAACCCTTCTGTACCCATTACCTGGCTTCAACAATCACCAATTCAAGACCAATTTTGTTTCACTATTCCACATCTAACACCCCAATTATTGTGAAGCAAATCCGAGATTTCAAATCATTCATACATACTCCAGTCCCAATTTATTTTCAACAACTCTTGTCACTGCCTTCCTTCCCACTTCTTCACCCACAAAAAGAAATGTACAAAATAATGCAGGCTACTGGAGGCAATTTTATCAGGTCTTCTCATAGCCACTTCCTGTCTTCCGGATTATCTTCTGTAACATTCACCAACGTCACTATGAAACGTCCACCACCGTGTTCAGTCCTTATTTCACTCAGAAATGCATTGTATTTTTTCCCTCCATAACTCCATTCTGTTTGAAAAAGTGAAAAAAAGTGTGCCAAAATTTCTGTTCTCTTGATAAAGATTACTTCTGATTTGTTCCCTCACCACAAATAAGCTAAAAAGAGCTAAAGGGAGTAGAAAAGGATGAGAAGAGGAAAGAAACTTTAATATAGCATTTAAAGTGGTGGGTTTTACCTAAATTAGTGTGTGCAAATTTTTGAAACTGTTATTTTATTTGCAAAATGAATATTAGCAAACATCAGAGGAAATTTTGTCATGAATTCCTTCTAGGCAGAGAATGTTTACAAAATGAATTATCTTAATTTAAGGGAGCTACTGCCCTCAGGATTTTGGTATTAATAACAGTAGTTGCTTCTGAGCCTAACAAATGGTTATGTAAAAACAATTACCTCCCCTCCGCCCAAATTAAGGGAGGATGGGCTCTGTTTCTGTAAGTGCTGTAACCTTGTTTTATTTCAACATGAGATTTCTTGGCCTCATCTCAGATAACACCACCACCCCACACTTTCTCCTCCACACCCTTTACAAATGGAATTAGGAAAGGTAGTGAGCAGGTACACTAGAGTTCATCATGGGAAATGGCTCATCTTGAGAGCATTTCAAGGCAATAATTGGGATTTCGTCCACTCCTGCCCCTGGCCACTGCACTGCCCGTCCCCTGCCCAGTGACTTCCCCGGGAAGCCAGGGGAAGGCTCCGCTCCGCAGCCGACAGCCTCTCCTTCCCAGGGATGGCCGCGACCCGCCCTGGCATCCCCTGCTCGCCCAGAGAGGGCTTCCCGACCCGCGCCCCGCGGGCCAAGGATCCCCGCCAGACGCCGCATCGCCAGCCACCCTCGTTTGAACTGTCCCCTCTGAGCAGCGGGGAAAGAACTGTTTACCCTCGAAAGCCTCTTCCCGAGGGCGATAACCTACGATTTCCCCCAACTCCTGCTACCTTCCCCCTCCGGGCCAGACGCCGCAGTTCCCACATCGAATTCGGGAGCTGAGCTGCCTTTAGGAACAAGCGCCCGGAGCCCCCACAGGTCACAAGTCCCCGCCTCCGGAGGGGAGACACTACTCGGCGCCCCGGTGCCCCAAAACCCGAAACCCGGACTCGGCCCCGCGCGGCCGCCCCGCCCCCGGGGAACGCCGTATCCGAACCACGAGAAGGCAGCGGTAGGGGTCGGGCCGGGGCCTCCACGCCCCCAGCGGAGCCCCGAGCATCGGCCGCTCGCCCCGCGGGAGCGAGGCTCTTCCCTCCACGCACCGCCGCCTCAAGGCGCCGCGAGGGGGCCGGCCCGCCCTCCCCTCAGGCCGCCGGGGCCGGACCCGACCGCGCCTCCCCTCAGGCCGCCGGGGCCACACCGAGCCCCTCGCCCGCGAAGGGCGAGCTGGCCGCACCCCCTGCTCCGGCCGAGGCCAACGAGGGGCACGGGGACCCCCGCCCCCCACCCAGGCCGGGGAAGCACAGCCCGCGCCCGACATCCCCGCGGCCGGCGGCCCAGCCCCACTCACTCACCCAGAGCTCGGTGCCCCAGCTCATGGTGCAGGGGGCGGGCAGGGGCGCTCCGAGCGGCGGGCGCGGCTCTCCGGCCCCCCCTCCGGCGATCCCCTCGCCCTCGAGATCCCCGCAATTGCGGAAAGCCCGGTGCGCGCGCGGCCGCCGCTCCTCGCCCGGGGTCTCCGCCGCAGCTCCTCCTCCCCGTCGCTCCACAGCAAAATGGCCCGAGGAAGCAGCAGTCTCCGCCGCCGCAGCGCCCGCCCGCCCCACACCGGAGCGCGGGGAGGGGGAGGGGCGGGGCGGGGCGGGGCCGGGGCCTGCCTGACAGCTCGCGCACGCGCGCCAGCCCCGCCCCGGCCCGCCCCCCAGACCCCCTCCGCGGTCCGCATCGCCCCGGGGTCCGGAAGGACGCGGAGGGAGGCGGGGACCTCGGGCCTGGCGCCCGAGGACTCCTCCGCGCCGCTGTTTGCTCTACTTGTTAGCAGCACGCTCTCTGCTTTAGGACGGCCCTCGCCCCCGAACGTAGCAGCCCTGCAGCTGCCGCCGCTCTGCGGGGCCCGAGGCTGCCACCGCGCGGAGCGCCGCTTTAAGTGTAAGGACAACACCCTTCCCCGCACCCTTGCACGCCGAGTCTGTTCGGGCGCGCTTTTCCCACCGCCAGCGACCGCCGAGGTCCCGAGAGCCCCGCAGCCTTGCGTCAGGGGCTGGGGCCTGGGACGGTGGTGTCTGCTCTGTGCACATGGGGACGTCGAGGCAAACAGCCACCAAGCGGCTGGGGAGGAATCCAGGGGCGTACACCCAGTGATTTCTAATCTCTGAAACCAGTGATTTCCAACTTGTTCGCCAAGAAACTCTGAGACGTGAAATCATGCTACCGCTCAGTGGGTAGAAGCAAAGCGCTGGCCACAGATACTAATTTGATTCATATCCAGCACGTAGCAGCTGGGCGGCCTTGGACAACGCTGCCACCTCTAGAAGTGGAGTCCTGTCTGCCACACGGAGGCCATAAGGTACCAGTCTCACCGTGTGGCGGTGAGGGTCAAGGCGGTGGGGCCAGGGCCTAGGTTGGTAAACTGAGAGCTCCTTTTATGTGCAGATACTGACTCCCTCTCTCTATATTCCAAAGGTCTGCACAAATGTCATTCCCGGCTATGGAGAACTTTTGGAATTCCAGCTCTTTCCTCGGAATCACTAGGCCCTTTCCCCACAACTTATCTTTCTCCCTTAGTTAATGCCACTGCTGGATCCTTTTCTGAGTGACCATGAACTCCCAAATGGGTCCATATTTTAAAAAATATTTTACGATGATGCATTTCTCCAATCCCACCCACAATTCTTAACCTGTTTATCATTCTCCTCCAAGAAAGGGTGGAGCTAAAAAACCCTGGTAGATAAACCTCCGAGTCTACTTCCTTTGCCAGACAATTACAATAAATCTAAACTGTCAAAACCGTTTTGGTCTGCCTTTTTTAGGTTACAAGCCCCTGACCGCCCCCTGCCATTTTTGTGTCTGTTTAATATTTTGCTCTCACAGTTACCAGGTCTGAGTACTCTTTACTCCAGGGACTGCTAGATAAATAACAATAAAAATGGCCAGCCACCCAAGGCAGATTAATAGCCAGTGTAAATTGGAGGGGATGGAAATTCAAACAATGTTGCACAATTTAGTATGCTAAAATTTGGAAATGGTAAATTATATGCAGGTTTATCGTATAAGACCTTGCCTCCTTGCCTTGGTAATCACCTCAATTTCCCTTCATGACAAGGCTTGAATATTTTTTCAGATACAATGATCTGAGTTGACTTGAGTTCTTGGAGACTTCTCAAAAACAGAGCGACCGCTTGTGAAAATGTCAATCAAGAGGTAAAACAACTTGATGCTTTACAGAAGAGGAAGAGACAGCAGCAGAAGAAAAGAGACCACATGAAGATGAAACATTTTAAGATGAGTAAGCAGGAAATTGTTAGATTATAGGAACCCATTACAACAGCAGCAGAACTCTGTGGAACTGAGTTAATTATACCACACTGCAAATATCTTTAACTTCATTAAGTTTTGGTAGTTACTGGAAAATGTTTGCGAGTGTCAGAATCTTCAAAAAATAAAGACACCAATGTTCTTGAACCAATGGAAACAACAAGTTCAAGATAAAATGAAATAAGCCAGCAGAAAAAAGGATAAAATACAGCATTTTTTAGGAAGAAGTAAATCTATTTCAGTTTCTCTTAGAGTAAGAGGGAGTGACCCTAAGACAAGGAAGTCTCACTATTAACAAACTACTGACCTACTTAGGAATCAGTTTTCACTAGGGGTATTCTAAACCCTCTCTATGTAAATGCTGGAATTACCTAGAGGTTATGTACACTGGTTTCACCTCTCTGTAATACTTACAGAACACTGATTTACAAAGTTATCACCTTGGTGGATGTGATATTATAAAATACATATTTAATCTTCAACCTGACATACAACTCCTAAAATCCTTAAGAACTCTAAAGTGATGTCTTCTTATATACTAATGAGATGCCTGATGGCTGCTAGTCCCTAAACAGCTTCAAGATGGGGGCTGGTCACCAGATTAGAGGCTCAGGACTTTCATTCTTACCCCCTCCCCCACCCCCATCCTCTGGGGAGGGGAGAGGTACTAAAAGTAAAGTTGATCACCAATGACCAACAGTTTAATCAATTATGACAACGTAATACAGCCTTCATAACACCCCCCCCCAGAAAAACAAAGTTCAGAGAACTTCCAGATAGCTAAACGCATAAACGTTTCTAGAGGGTGGCACACCCCTTCTCCTATACCTCATTCTGTACATCTCTTCATCTATATCCTGAACAGGTAAACATGTTTCTCTAAGTTCTGTGAGCCACTCTAACAAATTAATCAACCCCCAAAATGGGGCCACGTGATCCCTGACTTATCACCAGTCAAAAACACAGATAAAACAACCTAAAACTTATGATTGATAATTAAATTAAATGGCAGCAGGGGAGGGGGGGGAGACAATCTTAAAGACTGAGCTCTCAACATGTGAAACCCGATACTGTGCTATCTCCAGGTAGTGTCAAAATAAAATTAATTTAGAAGACACTCAGCTGATGTCCACTACAAAATTACTTACTTACTTGTTGGTGGGGGAAAATCCCCACACATTTATTTAGTCACAAAAAAAGTCTTTTGTGTTAATTATTATTAAGGAAGAAAAATGTAAAAAATACTTTAAGTTTATATATAGGTTTTTTCCACTCAGTGGGGGACTCAAATATATATTTCCACTGAATAATCTGATCACATGGACAATATTAGCACTGAAATAAAGTATCTGGACAAACAGAAGAGACCCTGTATAGGTTGCTGTGTTAAGAGGCAAACAACTGTATTAGGGCTTTTTGGCAATTCTAACCTTGCTTGTATTTAATAAACATCTAATTCAGGGGCTTGGATATACAGATATCTACATAGCTATACACAGGTATGAGATTTTAAAGCCGATAGAGTTTTATAATTGTTAAATTGAGATCACAGTGTTCCACTCCTTATTAGGCATGTGGCCTTCTGCAAGTTCCTTACTGAGCTTCAGTTTCCTCATTTACAAAACACGGACCTCATAGGTTGTTATTAGGCTGAAATGAAGGAGTTGGGGTGAGCACAGCCTTTGGTGTTAGCCAGATTTGGAGAGCTCTGTACAGGTAGCTCTACAGCTTTGGCTGGATTACTTTCCTTCTAAGCCTCAGTTTCCTCCTCTTTAAAACAGAAATAATGCTACTTCAAAGAATATTGGGAAGATTAAAAGAAAGAAAACATGTAAAATGCTTAGCACATAATATGGGCACAAGTATTGGTTCCCTTTCCTTTCCTCCTGTTTTCTGGAGGATTTTTACTTCTTTTATGAAGGAAAATAATCCTTTAAGCATTTCTGATGTAGCAGGACAGCTTGCCTGAACTACAGTTGATTGGTTGTCTATTGGTGAAGTACTACTCCTAATGAAATTATCAGAAATTTTTTTTCTTTAAAATAACTTCTGTTTTTAGTTTAAAATTTCCCATTTCTTTAGCACACTACTTACTAAGGGCCTAAGAAAGCACTCAAGTGGGAAAAGCTGGCATGGGATAAAACTAGGACTCTGTGGTGAGTAGAATCTTAAAACTCCAACCCATTTTTACAACTGATAATCAAATTCCCCTGAAGGTCTCTGTAAAGATGTACATAAAATCAAGAAAAACTGGCTGCTCTGTAGCTGAAGAAGATATACACTATGCCACCAGGTTGAAAAGTGATTTTGAAGTTCATCTCCAACCCACAGGATTCAAGGGTTAGGGGCATTGTACTGACATCCTACCTGTCAGGACCTGGCTTTTCCATGAGAATCACTTTCTGCAAAAAGACACTCAAGGGCTCCCCCACACTCCAAGAAATGCTTGAAAACCTTAGCTGCAATCGTGGAAGAAATGGTGTTTCAAGTCAAAGTGACATTTGACTTCTGAATGCATTTCCAGGCCCTAATTTGACATCTAGTTCCCTATATTGTTTTTATAGGGGATTTTGGTCTGAAATACAACCCTTTTGATAAGAAAAACAAATGGCAATTATACCTCATTAAACTGGAGAATTTTTTTTTTAATTTCAAAATATTAATTAGGGGAATACAAGTGTTTTTGTTACATGGATATCTTGTTTAATGCTTAAGTCAGGGCTTTTGGTAGACTGGAGAATGTTAGCACTTTAAATACTTAAAAGATTTCTGGAAATGTCTAAACTGATGCCAAATAATTATCAATAGCACTAGATTCAAGCTACACATTCTGTTACTAGTGGTGACTTTTAGTTGACCCTGCAAAATTAGAGAAAATAGAAGAATAAAATGCATTTGACTAAGAGAGTAAAGCTAAAAGCCAAGTTTAGGAGATCAGTCTTTCCAGCCTCTGCAAGTTTTTTCAGTCAATACCTAAAATTTAAGGTCCCTTTGAAAATGTTGCCAGGGAGAAGCAGGCATAACTTGTTCTGTTACTCAACGTGTCTGTTTTCAGTTACAGATGATGATTATGCAAATAATCTTTTCTTGAAACTATAAAGTCACATGGCTAATATAATTGTCAAAAGTAGTTTTCTCAGAATTTAAAAAGTAACTGTCTAAAAAGTGCTCCACATTAAGTCTTTGTAGCCAGTTTTCCCTCATTCTTATTCCTCTCAATTCCAAAACAGTGATTGGTACAATATAGCTCTCAAATATGTTAAGGAACATATTCCTCTCAAACTCCTGGGTAGATACCACTGGTATGACCCTGTGAGGGTCACACATCATAATTCCCAAATATAAAGAAACAAGGAATCCTAAGAACCCAACTTTAAGCCCTCGTAAAATTGTTTTCCAGAAACTTTAAAAAAGTCTTCTATTTTAAACTATTTTAACGTTTGATCACTATTGCATTATTAAATGGAATTAAGATTCTACCTGCTCATTTCTGTTTTGAGTACAGTATTATATTCAAATTTAAAACCAGAGACTCCAAACTGGCACCTCACTTTAAAAAGTAAAACAAAACAAAAAACCCAAAACATTACAAACTGCTTTTAAAAAATGAAACTGCACTTAAAAATCACCTTTCTCTTTAACATTTAGTTTCATACTGAAGTGAAAATCCACTGTCTTTAGTATTTCCTCTTGATACCTAAAATGAAATATCACTTATTTTACATTCTTACTATGTTCTTTGATATTGCTGATTTTTAAAAGGCTTTCTGAAAATTTCTCTAGCATTTCGTTTGAAACACATTGGTTACTCAGACTCTGGATTCTTATCTTTTTAAAAAATTAAAATGGTAAAAATTAGAAAGCCATGTGCTATATATATAGTCCAAGAAGCACAGATCCAATTCTGAAGCAGGTGAAGTTCCAGTTCTGGTTTTAAAGATGCTTCCTGAAAATTACCCAACTAGTTGTGTGATACTGAGCAAGTCCTTTAAATTCCCTGGACTGGTTTCTTTATCTGTTAAATAAGGTGGATGGATCTCCTGATTATCTAAGGATCCTGCCACCCTAATACACAAATGATTTTTCTTTACAACAAGGCAGGAGAGAGATTACTGCTGGCTTTGTGGGCACGGCCCTGGATAAGGGTTCCAGCTGGGGCATTTATAAATAAGGTCTTTGTGATGTTAAATGAGATAATGTATATATAAAATACTTAACAGAATACGTGACATTTTTAATTGCTCGGTAAATAAATCTATTATCTCTCTATGTGGATTCACAAAATAATAATTATAGTTTCTTATTCTAAGTTTCTTTATCTGTAAAAGGGTAGTAGAATCAGATGAAAATTATGTTTAAACATGTAAGATTACATATTTGCAATACACGGCAGAGGTTGGGGAAGAAAGGGGATATTCTCCACTAACTAGTAATCATTGCTTTTCCCTTGAGTGATTGTCGCAGGTATTTTAGGATAAACTACAATCTTCCTGGCTTATCTTGGTGCCCTACTTTTGCTCTTGCAGAGAGTGTGACAGAACTTGTACTGGTTTTTGAGTCAAGGGAAGAATTCATAGATTTGTGCCTTTTATTAAGGTTGCACACAATTAAAAAAAAAAAAATCTAAGACCCTCCCCCTGCCCCATTCTGTACTTTCCAATTGATTTTAAAACTGAGTGTAGGACTTTAGCACCATTAAAATATATCACGTTAATTTCAGTTCCTAGTTCCAGTTAAAAACTTGTAAGAATCTGCTTCTGTCATAAAACACACTAGGACACTGACAGTTAATTAGTACTGGGATTCCTGGTGGTTTTTATTTTCTCCTCCTTTGCTTAAATAATTACACGGAAAAAGCATGCATTACTTGTGTGGCAAGCTAAAATAGATTCTAAAATTTAAATAAACCTGGCTAGTCTATTGGTAATTTTAATAAGCATATTCTTCTACAACTCCTTGATAAAGAATGACGAGTAGGAAGGGACCCACCCACTATTGAATCCTTCCATCAAAGAGGTCCCTATAAGTTGTAAAGATTAGAAGCAAAGACAATTTCCACGCACAATTAAGAGAAAAATGTTAAGACTCAGACTTCAGTGGTCAGATGAAATAGCATGAGGCAATGTAACAGTAGTTAAGAGCTTCCAAGTGATTCCAAGCTCAACCTGGAACAAATTACTTAATTTCTCGAAGGCCTCAATTTGCTTACCTGTAAAGTGGGGATAATGATAATACCTACCTCCTATCTCGAATTAGATTGTTCCAGGATTAAATGCAACAAAAGGCTTAACGAATTGCCTCATAAAGGCTCAATAAAATGTATTACTGCAACCATTTCCCCTGAAATTTGAGGGTGAAGAGCCTGGGAAAAAACCAAGGGACCCTATGACAAGCCAGGAATTTAAACATATTTTCCGCCGAGTCAGCCCTCGGTGAAATAAGTCCAATCAACGGGCCAAGCACCGTGTTGCAGCCACAGCATATTCCCCACCCTGAGGTCAGGGGTCCCTGGGGCCCAAGGGCGCTTCCAAAGCTCCAGGAGGCAGAGCTGAGGCCAGGGCTGTTCTTGTTCGGCCACCGTTGCCCCTCTTCTGGCTAAACCGAAAGTCCGTACAGGGTAGGCCAACAGAAGGGTCCTTTGGTAGCCAGCTTAGGCCCCTCGGCGACTTCTTGGCTCACACACTACGGTAAACCACCACAGGGTTAGCGGAACTAGCCGCCACACCCCCTCCCTTGGCCCTTCCGGCGGCCGTCGCCCTTTAACCCCGGAAGTGGGCGGGAGAGGAAGTGGCTGGTGATGCTGGAGCAAACATGGCCGCCCCGGCGCCAGTGGGCCTCTCGGGGTCCGGCTGTCTTCCGCTGGCCGCGGGACTCCAGCTGCTCCCGATGCTGGGGCTGCTGCAGCTTCTGGCCGAGCCCAGCCTGGGCCGCGTCCACCACCTGGCACTCAAGGTAGGGCGCGACAGGGCCCGGCCAGGGGGCGGAGGCCGAGGCCACTCTCCCGGGAAGGAGGGCAACTTTGGCCCAGTGGGGCCCTCTGAGCTTTTGGGCCAGTCATTTGGCTGCGCCCTTTTTCTTCGAGGGGTCTGGCGGGGGCTGTAGGAAAGGCGTGGTTGGACGGCGCGGGGGTCCTCAGGCCGCCTGGTGGGATCAGGAAGATTCGAGCTGAGGGAGGGGAAGGGGCTGAACTGTGGCGTAACCCCGAAGGACTCGGAGGCCGCTCTTGCAATCCCTGGTGGTTTCCCTGGTCTTCTCGCCGATAGCAACCTGCTCTGCCACCGCCCTTATCACTTCGAACTTTTATCCTGACTTCCCTTGTCCGCGGTCTCCCTCTTCCGTGTCCTTGTACTGTCCCTGGTAATTTGAAGGTACGCGGAACCTTAGACTCAGTTTCCCGGTTTGGTTTATGGCGTTCTCTGGACCAAAGCGGGAACTCCAAGAGAAATTTCAAGTGTCATTTGAAGTGTGTGACTAAGAATTTAAAACCAGCATTAAAAACGTGTTTCTAACTAGGGGACTTGCGTTTTCTTCCTTGTCTGTCTCGGGAAGAGAGTTAGGATAGGTCTAGAATGATCCCCTGGATTTTGCTTTATAACTCACAGTTAAAAGTCCTCCAGGGCTTACATGTACCTTTAGATGGTTCAACAGGTTAATATATCTGGGGAATAGAAAAGTAAATTGTTATACCCAAAGCCTTGTACATTATTTTCCTACTATAGTTTTCTAAAAAGTTGTGGGATTGTAGAAAGTTTGTCTTGTAAAAACCACATTGCTTTAGCAAACAATGAAGCATTGTATTTTGTTAATGTAGAATTTAAAGAATACAGAATCTGATTTAAAAGCCTGGCCAGGTAGATCTATACAACCATACTTTTGGGTATTAGCGTTTGTTGTTTGTAAATAAAAATGAAAAATTATAAAATGGTTTAATCACAGAAGAATAAGTGAATCATGGCTCCTTTTGAGAATCTGCTGAGAGCTGTAGAACCTTCCCCCAGAGAAGTATAGGTAGAGGAAACTTTTTTGGAGTTTCTGAGGCTTTATAATCCTGCTGAAGCTTACATATGGGTCCCAGCCCCAGGTTTATGACCTCAGGTTAAGAACTGATTAAGATCCTGAGTCTTGGCTGGGCGCGGGGCGCGGTGGCTCACGCCTGTAATCCTAGCACTCTGAGAGGCCGAGGTGGGCAGATCGTTTGAGCCCAGGAGTTCGAGACCAGCCTGAGCAAGAACAAGACCCCGTCTCTACTAAAAATACAAAGAAATTAGCTGGACAACTAAAAATATATATAAAAAATTAGCCAGGCATGGTGGCGCATGCCTGTAGTCCCGGCTACTTGGGAGGCTGAGGCAGGAGGATCGCTTGAGCCCAGGAGTTTGAGGTTGCTGTGAGCTAGGCTGACGCCACGGCACTCTAGCCCGGGCAACAGAGCGAGACTCTCTCAAAAAAAAAAAAAAAAAAAAAAAGATCCTGAGTCTTAGAGTAAGTAATGTGCCTGAGTTCATACAACTTAAAAATTAGAGACAAAACTGGTAATAGAACACACTAGGACCATGTCTTGTGGCTCCCAATCCGTTGATCTTTGTACCTTTCTAGAATTAAAATGCCAGGTGGCATCATTAGGTAAATGCTGGCAATATGGGTATAAGTGGAAAAGTATACCAACCTTAGGGGCAAACTGAATTGGTATAATTCTGGTGATTGATTTCTCTCTGTTGTGCTAAATTGCTTAATGGTTTTCTGTCTTTGTAACATGTTTAATAAATGCTGTGGTGCTCGTTCCATAATCAGTACTGTAATTGTTTCATTTAAAACTCTAACTTCTTTCCCAAGGAGGGCAAGGAAATCACCTGAAGAGAGCCTGTTAGAGCAGCAACATTAGATTGTGTTGCTTTGCTTTAGACTGAGAAATAGGAGACTTAATCAGGTTGGAGACCCACACTAGCCATAATTACATGAAGAAGTCACTAAGTACCAGGAATATGCATTGATCTTTTAAAAAACTTTTTGCTGTGGAGAATTTCAAATTTAACAAGGTAGACAAAATAGTATAATGAACTCCTGTGTACCTGTTACCCAGCTTCAATAACCATCACCCAGTGGCTAATTCTGCACCATGCCCATATACATCACTTTCCTGTTTTCATTTTTCATTATTTTTAAAATTAGAAATGAATCCTTTCATTTTTTATTTACTTTTCTTATTCTATGTTGTATTTTACATCATTCTTCTGGTTTTTCCAGTCTTCTCATGTTTCTTTTCTTTTGACCTTTCTCTATATTCCTTGCCTTTTTAAAACAACTCTTTTGAAGTATAATTTACATACCATAAAATTCACCTATTTTAATTGTATAATTCAATGATTGTTAGTATATTTACTGAGTTGTACAGCTGTCACCACAATCCAGCAATAGAACATTTCTGTCATCCCCGTAAGATCCCTTGTGCTGGTTTGCAGTTAATTCCCATTCCCACCCCTGGCCCCAGACAGCCACTAATCTAATTTCTGTCTCCATGGATTTGTCTTTTCTGGATATTTCATATAAATGGAATCACATAGCAAGTAGTCTTTTGTGTCTGGCTCCTTTCTTTTTTACTTTTTTTTTTTAGGTTCATCCATGTTGTACCGTGTATCACTAATGAGTTCCTTTTTATTACTGAATACTATTTCACTGTTTTGGATTTAATCATATTTTGCTTAGCCATTCACTAGTGGATGGACATTTGAATTGTTTCCACTTTTTGGCCGTCGTGAAAGACAATTCTACAAATGTTCAGATGTAAATCTTTGTGGGGACATATGTTTTCATATCTCCTGGGTGATTCCAGGAGTGGAATGAAATTGCTGGGTCATATGGTAGATCTATGTTTAGTGTTTTAAGAAATTGCCAAATGATTTTTCAAAGTGGCTATACCATTTTACATCCCACCAGCAATTTATGAGGGTTTCTCTTTCTCCTTCAGATTGTTTCCAGCATTTGTCATTGTCTTCCTGTATTATTTTAGAGCAAATCAAAGGCATCATATAATTTCATCCATAAATATGTTGGTATATACCTATAATAAATAAGGGCTCTTTTAAAAACATAATTACAGTGCCATTATAACAAAAAAAATCCTTATTATCAGCAAATAGCAAATCAGGTTCAAGTTTCCATTGGTCAAATGGATTTAAAAATTTTTGAAAAATCAGGATCTAGATAGCATCCTCGCATTGCAATTGATTAATATGTCTTTTAAGTCTCTTTTGATATAGGGAATCGCACTCCTCCCAGTCCCCCATACTAGATTTTGCTGAATGTTTATTCATGGTATAGTTTAATATGTTCATCTGACCTCTGTATTTTCTGTAAGTTGGTAATTGGATCCAGAAACTTGATCATGGTCAGGTTTGATTCTTTTAGTGAGACCATGTCATAAGCCCTGCTGTGTTCTTCCACTGGGAGGCACAGTGTCTGATTGTCTTTCTTTTTGTGATGTTGGCCTCTGTTGATGCCCAGTGGTTACCTTTGTTTATTAGTTAAATCGATCTTTAATTATGCTGTTTGATGTCAAAGGATAGGACCATCGATTAAGTTATATATTTTATTGTATGGTAGATCTTGTAATATTTTTCCATTGTGATAGTCAAGACAAAAGAAATGCATATAAAGTGCAAACAAGTATCGTTTCTTAGGCGTTTCATTTGCTCAGGAAGCTTTTTTAGGTGCTATTAGGCACAGTCCTTACCACCACGGAGGTCTTACAGCAGCAAAGAAAATAGATACAATCTTCCATATTCTGAGTACAATACAGAATTTCCTCTGTTGATGAGAATTTTTCTTAAATATTTTATTACTTCTTGACTTCTTAGAGTTAAGACGTAGAATGTAATTTAGCCATTTCTGGATGATGGATGATTTCCATTTATTCAATAAGCATTTATTTTTACTCATAACTTTTAACAAATGTTAATATTTAAACGGCCATTGATATTAATTTAATAGTCACTTTCTAATTCATACTAATGGAATAAAAAGGGATAATCTGAGTTTCTTTTTCTTTTTTAGAGATGGGGTCTCCTTATGTCGCCTAAGTGGGAGTGCAGTGGCTATTCACAGGTGCGATCCTAATGCACTACAGCCTCCAATTCATGGGCTCAAGTGATCCTTCTGCCTCAGCCTCCCGAGTAGCTGGGACTACAGGCACGTACCACCATGCCCGGCTAATTTTTTCTATATATTTTTTAATTGTCCAGCTAATTTCTTTCTATTTTTTTTTTTAGTAGAGACGGGGTCTCGCTCTTGCTCATGCTGGTCTCGAACTCCTGAGCTCAAATGATCCTCCCACCTCAGCCTCCCACAGTTCTAGGATTATAGGCCTGAGCCACCGCGCCCGACCTAGGTTGGAATCTTGACTGCTATTAAGTGCTGTGTAACTCTTTGGCTAGTCACATTAGAAGCCCTCCTTGCTGGTAGGATCTAGACCAGAAGATGTTAAATGAAAAGATAAGTTAAAGCAGAAAATCACAAAAAAAGAATATGTACCTGAAACATTTTATTTTGATTTAAAACCTGTCAGTATATATTCATTGACTTAAATGAGTGATTTTAAGCTTACTAGATGACTTTGCAACATATGCCCTCTACTCTCTTATTCATTCAACAAATATTCTCCAGGTATCTTTTTATATGCTAGGTAGGCACTGTTCTAGACACAGGCTGAGGCAAGTGAGCAGGACTAAGCTCTTAGCTGCATGGAGCTTTCATTCTAGTGGTAATGGGCAGCAAGCTCTTGAACACATGAATGCACAAGTAATTTGAGATTGGCATAGATTGATAAGAAAATAACAGCATTGGGTAGAGAAATGGAGCTGGAGACTACTCTAGATGGGTTGTTTGGAGGGAGCCTCTCTGAAGAGGTGACATTTCAGCAGAGATTGAAAGGACCAGCCACGCATTTGAGGTTCTGG